ATGCACTATTCCTAAGGCATCACAGAGAGGTGTCTGTCCAGCTTGTCTTGAAAAATCTGCAGCAAAGCAGATTCCACAGCTTCCCTGTGCAGCTTGTTCCATTGACTTATTGCTCTCGGTCAGCAGTTTTTCCCCTGAAATTTAATTTAATTTAATTTAAGTCTGATTTGTTGCAGTTTAAATCCCCTGCTTCGTGGCCTGCCCTCTACAGCAAGGGAGGACAGTTTCCCTCTTTTTTTATGGCAGCCTTTCAAATATTTGAAACTCCATTGTACCCTCCTTAATACCTTTTTTGCAAAACAAATGCCCCTTGTTTTCTTACAGGGGTGTAGGTTTTCTTGTTTTCTTAACCATTCCTCATACAACTTACATTCCAACCCCCTTTATCTCTGCTCACATTTAAATCCTCCCACTTTTTTTCCATCATTCTTAAGTTATGGTGCCCAGAACTGCACACAACTCCAGCTGAAGCCTAACCAGCACCAAGTTGAGTGGTACTATTATCTCCTGTATGTTACATACAACATTTAGATTAATACAGCCCAAAATTTCAATTACTGTTTTGTGTCAACATTTCACTGCTGACTTATGTTGAGTTAGAGAGTCAGAAGGGTTCAGGTATCTTTTCTGTGCAAATGTTTGTTAAGTTTCTTCTTAACTGTATCTTTGATTAGCTAAATAGATTAAACTCCTGTAGTCTCAGTGTAATACATACTTTCCACTACAAAGCATTTTTGTAGTTTTTCTCTGTATCGCTCAGTTTTTTCAGTTTTCTTTTTGAAGTGCTGAGAACAAAACTGGACACAGTATTACATTAAGGGTATGTCTACACATCGCCCTATGGTGACCTAGCAACACACTATGTCACCATATGGCTTACTATGGTGATACAGCAATCACATCTCTACACATGATCACCAGTTACATTGTCAAAGCAGCGCACTCCCCTGGGTATAGCACGCTGTTCCGGCGACATAGTGGGGAAATCTAACGGTGCACCGTGTGCATGGCACAGTAACCACCCATACTGCGCTGTGCTTCAGTACTTCCAAAAGGTACTAAAGCATGGTACCATAGCAATGTCACCATACGGCGACATGTAGATGCACCCTAATAGTCCCAAAGGCACTGTATATATACAGAGTAACTCCTCCCTTCTCTTGCACCAAAGGATCACTTTAACCATTTTAGTCACAGCATTAGACTGAGAGTTTACGTTCATCTGGTTACCTCTAGTAACCTTCAGATTTTATCCAGTCTTTCTAGGGTGCAATATTGCATCCTGTAATTATAACCCATATTATTTGTTCCTGGGTATATGACGTTTGCTTGTATTATAATGGAGGCATTTTGATTAAACTTAGCTTACCATGGATCTAGACTGCTGCATATAAGCAACTTGTCATTTTTTTTGTCATTTCATCATTTTTTGTCATGGGTTTTTTAATTTCACATATCTTCATGTAAGGCTCATAATCAGCTGAAGAAAAACATCTAAGCAGTTAGAGTTCATATGTGCCACCAAAGACACAGTGATTTCTTATTGAAACTTTTAATTTAGGACTTATAGTTAGAATCCAAGAAAGGTTTGCTTGTTTTTTCTTTTTAACAAAAGAAATCTTGCAGCTGGCTTACTGAAAATGCAAATTACAAGGTCTGAATTTTGGAGTGAAATTGTGAAATATATTAGGTTTAAAGAAAATTTCCCTTCTTCCACAGAATGTTATTTAGAGCGTGTTAGTCTGGGATGCAGTGGCTTGATACTTTTGTAGAACAGTTGTTATGCTAGTATGATACATTCAGTATTTAGTGCAAATGTGTAGTAGCCTACTATGTTATATAGCAATTTTTGTTTGGGCCAACTAAAATTCATAACAATCTGAGGCGCTAGCTCCCTTCTTTCCCTTTGGCAATCTCAGCTGTAAGTGGAAACCTTTTTTTTTTCAGAAACACTGAACTCTAATATTTTGATGGTGTTTACCAAATTCAGTCTGCTCAGCAAATCTTCCTGCATAGAGAGTTAATGCTGTGAGGCAAAAAATACTTTTATTCTGTTTTTTAAAACCAAAATCAAACCCTGATACAGAAGGTCCATATTTTGTCTATTTTTCTGACACTCGCTGGGTAAGCTCTATAAGGCAAGTGATGCCATTTGTTTCTTTCCATGCAGTGCCTCACTCAGTAGCACCCTGATCCTCTACTGCGGTTCCAAATTTTATGTAATACAAATATAACAAAGTCCAGGAAGCATTAGGTTCTTTTGAAGAAAAAAAAGAGAGCTCCCAGAGTATACTTTCAGAGCTACTGTAGCAGAGTTTATGTAAACAAGCTTGTTGCAGCAGCTTGTACTGTGATACCATTTCTTTTGGCATATGGGTTTCTCTGGCTCCTGGAGCCACTTAGCTCTGAGACTGAAGCTAGTCCATCTGTCTGTCCTTAAGGAGACCCTATATACAAATTCCTTCAATTAATGAGGCTTGTCATAGATTATAAAGCCCGACAGGACTCTTGTGATTGTCTAGGCTGCCTTCCCGCATACCGCAGTTCATAGGAAATTCCTGAATTAATTCCTCTGAATTAGAGCACACCATTTAGAAAGATACCCACTTGTGGTTTAAGACTGCTAGTGAGGGAGAATGTACCACAGGCCATAGTAACTTTTCTCTTGTTGGCCCTGAGATGGTCTGTAGCTCCTGTAGAGGTTCATTTCCATCACTATTAGAGATGGTGGTGATGGATCCAGCACATTGTGCGTAGTATTCCTTCCCCTCTCCTGTATAGTGTTGTAGTAGTGAGAGAGACCTTGGCTTCCCTTCTTACCGAGGGCCTTGAAGAGAGCAGTCAGCCAGGAATGCATTTTTCAGCTACACTGCTCTTTCCATTTTCTGGTTCCTTCATGTCAGCCTGCCCTCCATATACATATGTCTGCTCACTCTATTAAAAGGATGAGGGGCTTATCACATGTCATGTTGATCCCTAATAATTGTTTTGTGGTTCACTTTATTCCTCAGTAAATAGAAATTAAACCAAGGCAGTTTACTCTGAAAGAAACAACTGTTAAATCACTATGTTTTAGATTCCACTTACTGTAAGGATAGAATAGGCACACAATACAGTTACTGCAGGCTAACTTGACATGGTAAATTGTTCCCACTCCTTAGGTTGGTATAATTGTTTCATCTGTTCATATCTTTAGTTCTGATTCTTACTTCTATTAAATAGAACTCTTTCATTTCTAAATTTAGTTTAAATTTACATTTTCTTTATTTTAAAATAATGAGCAGGCCAGTGGCATTGTCTGGAACCAATGCAGAGGAGTAAGCAGGATATATTACAGTTCAGTCCAAAGCCTTTATTGGCATGATAGGTTATGCTGTGCAAGAGTTGCCACACAGTAAGAAAACAGACATTTACATTTATCTGCACTAAAAAACATCAGTCTAATGTGCTACTTCATACTTCAAATTCTCCTCTCTAGGTTTCTTTGTAAAACCATGTAGGAACAACAGATATTCTAGCTATTTACTTCATTCTCCTACATTACATCTCTTTTGTCTTAACTACCTGATCCTTAGATACTTGTCTCAGCTGGTTTAGGCCTTTAGTTTAACATCATAATTCACAGGTAACAATAAAGCTAGCATTAACAACTGAAACAAAATTCATCTTGGTGCATAGTTTAGCTCACATGCAACTTACTTAGACAACATCTGACAAGGACATTTCTTCAGGGGGATTCTACACTTCTCATCTTTATTCCAAAAAATGTAAAAATGCTGTAGTAATTGACCATGCAATGAGAAAATAGATTTACAGTTGTTTTGCTTGCTGGTATTTGGCTCTCTGTCTTCATGTAATTTCATTCCTTGTTGCATACTTTCTCATTTTCATAGCTGTATAGTAATAATCGCTGGAAGCATAAAGACAATACAGTGGATTCCGCTTTATAGAATCACTGGTTAATAGAATCAGCCGCTTATTTGAATCAATATGGGAAAACCAAAAACATTTGTATATTATTGCATGTAAAAATCGTTCATATTAGAATCACAATTTTTAGTTTTTGAACTCATTGAGTTCCAGCCTGCAGGGGGCTGGAAGGGAGCAGGAGGAGGGCAGTCAAGCAAGGGGCACCATGTGCATGTAAAGTACTTGCTTATCCAAAATCATATCTGCTATGCTTTCCTTTGTAGAAAAAAAAGATCTAATGTTAAGAACTTCATGTTCGGTATGGCTGTTGTCACCTTGTTATTGTATTAATTGCATTTTCACTGCTACAGTGATCAAGAGAAAAAATGAGCTTAATGCATAGGCGGAGCACTAAAAAATAGGCTAATTGTAATACAGGATGTAAAAGGAGGCAGTCGCCAACATGACTATTCTGTAAACTGTATGATGAAGCATTGGTAAAGCTTGTTGCTGACATTTATTAGATTTTCAAGGGATGCTTTTGCTAGTCTATTATAGCAGCAAAGAGTTGTAATGCTTCAAGAGACTCCGGTTTTTTGTAAGTGGATATAATTTGCTTTCAACTGGTTTGTAGAAGTGTACTTTAATGTAATCCATAAAATGTGAGTGTTTGTATACGTTCACAAACTGAACATTGTACATCTCTTTAAGCTAAACTAATGTAATTTGGAGCATTTTTGGTGTGGCATGTACAATTGCAGTGATCTCTTCCTAATTTAGACCTTATCTACCATATGCATTCTAACCAGTTTTTGGACACTGAAACAAACTGACTTTAGTACTTAAAGTGCTAGTTTTATTAGTTGTCACTTTGCTTCTGACTATATGGAGCACTGCACTTTTATAAGTACTATTAGCCCTGGATTTTGACCCATTTATTTTCCCATTATAACATAAGGTATTAAAATATAAAGTGGCCATCAGAATTTTAGGTGAAGATGACCACAGCCTGGTGCCTGAGCTCAGTTAATTGTATGTTAG